CTCTTTCTTGAGTTGTATAACACCATCTAATGCCTCACATGGATGGCGTGGTGTACTTGATGGTCGTAAAGTCTTATTGAAGGGTATGGGTTGGTTGATAGGCAATGGTGAATCAATTAAATTATGGAAAGATTATTAATTTTCTATGCCAGTTCCTTTGACTCCGTATAGGCCATGCCCGCAACATTTAATCAATCTTAAGGTCTCAGACCTCCTTACCTCTTCTAGAAAAGATTGGAACTGGGAGCCCATCCGAGAATGGCTACCGAGCTAGGAAAATCATATATGAAGATTCATAATCTGTTGTTTGAAATAAATTTGTTAGTTTCGAACTTCCGAAAATTATGTCTTTTTTTTTTGTTCCACGAGATGCCAATATATTGGCTGATTCGTTATCCAAACGAACTATTTTGGCTCACGATTTGTTGACGGTTTTAACTTAGGATTTAATAAAATTTATGTTTTTGACCCCAAAAAAACACTACAAGAGTGTTTAAAATATCTTAGTTTTTGTGTGATTTTTTTTGGTGCTATTAATTTTTGTGTGATTATCCAGAGAAAATTATATTTGCTGGGTTTAAAGCTCAAAAATATATTTTAATTCGTCATTTCAGGTTTCGGGGATATTTTTTCATTTGCCGACCAAATTTGATCGATTATGAAAACGGTAAAAAAAAAAAACTAATAGGACTAGCTAAATATAATAGTTGACACAACTTGGCGCAAGCACTTGCTACAGAATATATATTGAAAATGCAGACATCTTAGTTGCAAACCCACGTTGTATAGGGTGGAGTTTTTATCTTACATATATAGACTATAGAGTAAGAAGAGTCAATGTGTAATAGATTGGTGATCTTTGCTATAAACTAATATGTGGTTTATACTTTGATAGTGTTTAACAAAAACTACAAGTTGGTTTTAAGTTATTTAGTTTGTAAACTACTGGACCATACAAGAGGGCGCTGACTTGGATTGTTAAATTAGTAGTTAAAGGATACAATATAGTTACAACTTCTACTATATATGCAATTTAAATTGAAACGATTATTTTAAATCGAGAAATGGTCCATATTTTCATTATATATATATATATTTCTTAAAATGGTTGACCTTAGAGAGTAGTATTTAAAGGAACCCCTAATAAGAGAATGAATATCAATAAACGCAACAAATACATACATCTCAAATAGATCCAAAAGGACCAAATTTTTTCTCTCAAGCCACTTTAAACTACTAAAGATGGCTCCAGAAATTTGTAACAGAAACGACATGGCTGGTTTTTCTCGATTCGTAGAAGAGAATCCATCAATGCTGGAGGAACGAGACGAGGAAACGGTTTTGCACCTAGCCACGCAGCTAGGGTACGAGGCACTAGCAAAGAAGATAATCGAGCTCTCCCCTTCCCTAGTCAGTTCCACCAACTCCAAAGGTGAAACTCCTCTACATTTTGCTGCTAGCTTGGGACACACAAGCATCTTGATTATGATGCTAAAGTCCGAAACCCAAGATGATGAAAAACTTGCAGAAATGATGAATAAGGAGGGCTTGACACCTTTGCATTGTGCGGCAATGAAGGGTTCAGTTGAAATACTGAGGGAGTTTCTCGATAAGGCTCCCTCGTCTTTCAACTCCGTTACACTAGAGAAGGAAACTGTCTTTCATATAGCTGCGAGGAACAAGAAGAACGAAGCCTTCATCTTCATGGCAAAGAGTGCCAACTTCTGTACGAGCTAGATTCAGAGGGAAACAATGTGCTTCACGTTGCAGCCTCCATCGGCTCTATTGACGTAAGTTTTCTATTTCTCTGTTTTGCGCACTTTTGTCTAATTGCTAGTTGGTGAAATACATAAACCTTTTATTCTTTTGAGTTTGATGATACTTGATTGGACAATCAATTACTAAAGTGTAATACCAATGCCACATAGTCTTTTATTTATATCTCTTTCATTTTTATTTGTGTGCTTAGACCAAAATATGTAGGCTATGTAGAGACCAAAACATGTAGACTATGTAGAGCCTAATAATATTCAACTTCTGCATTTACTTTAATTCTACTTGGTAATACTCTATAATCATTAAACGAAAAATATAACAACTAAAAACATTGAAATGGTAAAATGACTACACATAAATCAATTTTTCTGCATGATTGTATGATTGGTAAAAATCATTGAAGCATAACATCTCATGATTCATACTTGACTAACTGCTTCTAACTTCTAAGGTAATATTTTCATGAGAAGTATAGTTATATGATTTGAAAACTTAAAATGTGCAATTTTGTGGTTTCCTTCATGACTTGATTAATAGATTCCATTTTGGACATATCACAGCTGGTAAATTACATAATCAATGAAACAAAACTAGAAGTCGCTACCAAGAACAAGAAGGGTTTTGCACCGATTGATCTTCTCAACAAAGATGATGAAGATTTCCATCTGCTATCTACCGCTCTGATGTATGTTTCAGAAACAATTGAACACCCTCCAAGTCCTAGAGAGTTGGAAAATTTCGATGAGTTCAAGCATCTCCATAGGCAAATGAAAAGATTTGGTAGAGAGAGTCGAAACATCGAAATGGAGATGCACACGGAGTCTTTGCAAAGCGCTAGGAACACAATCACCATTGTCGCGATCTTTATTGCATCAGTTACTTTCACATGTGGTATAAACCCACCTGGTGGGGTCTATCAAGAGGGGCCTTACATAGGGAAATCAACCGCAGGAAGAACCGCAGCTTTCCAGATCTTCTCAATAAGCAATAGCATTGCCTTGTTCACATCAGTGTGTATGGTCATTCTTCTCGTAAGCATTATACCTTACAGGGAAAATTCACTGAAGAAGTTCTTGGTTATAACACATAGGATGATGTGGGTGGCTGTTGCAGCCATGGCAAGTGCTTATGTCGCTGCGGCATGGGTCACATTACCACATTTTGGAGAAACCAAATGGTTACTCTATGCTACTCTTGCTATAGCTAGCTTGACACTAGGAGGTATGTTTGTTTATCTATTGATTAAGCTGAAAAAGTTCATGTTAAGGAAGATGAGGTTTAGAGAGCGCATGTCTTCCTCGCCAGAACCCATGAATGGGTCCGTAGACATGGCAGCCAATATCATCAAAGGTTATTACAATATTTAAGAGGAAGCCATGTTATTAACAATAATTCATTAATGTTTATCTACTTGTATGTATGC